GGGACAACAATCGTCGAAAGAAAACAATCAAAAATTCGCCGTGGCGAGTAAAATTGCACCATGGAACAATGGTGTATGCAAGTGTGCATACATCTCGCTGCCGATTTGTCTCTTATTTTTTTTTTTTTTTTTTCCTTCTTTTTTTTTACGCATCATGATTATTGGAACGGTAAAGCAAGCTTGCAATCAACTCTCTATCGTAAAATCAACTATCAATATTGACGGAAGCGTTGTTTAAAAATCGGGCGGATGATCAACTCGTGAAAAGTATGTCGATTCTTGACCACACTGAATTTTCTTTCTTTTTTTTTTTTTTAAATTGTCATTCATTCAGAGAATCGAAGACAATCGAAAAGCTCGCGTCGATTTTTCTCTCCTCGGAGACGGAAGACAAACTGGCTCCGTTTCCTTGGGATTAAACGGCGCGATAAGTAAACTCGAATAGAGATTTTGATCGATACACGGAAACGTGGCGAGGTAAACACGGGAAAAAGATATCGTTCGATAAATTTCGGATAAGACTGGAAGATATATACAGCCGTAACCTTTCACAACTCTTCATCTCTGTCATCCTTTTCGCGGATATTGCACGGTATTCTAAACTTATTTGCGGAACTGAAAAATGGTGGCTAAAATCCCAACGGCGATAACTGAAAAGAGGAAAAGAAAAGAAAAGAAGAAGAGAAACGTTAAACATTGCATAAGTATGTTCGTGAAAACGTATAAAATCGTATAAAACGACGTAGCAGTTTCACGCGATACAATAGAAATTGCATTAATATGTATCAGGAAAGTTATGAAATTGATGCCGGAATCACAGTTATGACGTGCATAAATAAAAAGTTGGGAACAAGTAGTATGGCTGCATAAATGCGGCGACAACATACGCGATCCATTTATAAATCATGCCCCGTTTCCATCCATCCATCCAGACTAATGATAAATAAATGTTGCGAAATGAAATGATTGTCACTCGAATATTAAGCATCTCATAAACATAAACATATAACAGAGATGGATTTACAATTCGTATCGCAAATGTTTTTTTAATAAATCACCTCTCCTGGCCATCCTCCCCTCCCTCGTTTCCATCTTGGGAATTTAATACGACATTCTCAAGATACATTCGTCCCCGGATCCTCGATAAAATACGGAAACGAACCGCCTAAGCGGGGGAGGGGAGGCAACAATAAAATGCTGCTCGACGTTTGTCGGTATGCGCGGTGCAACGCATCAGGAATTCGCGGCCACTGAATTCCTTGTGTAACCAAACGCGACTCGCATTGTTGCACGGGGAAAAACGAACCGCCGGATGCTCGACATCCGGCCAAGCTTTCCAATTACATTACCGCGGAGGTCGCGCAACGAGCGGTCATCAAGCGGAAGGACGAGGAAAAAGAAGAGAGAGAGAGAGGGACGGAAAGTAGAAAAGAAGGAGGAAGAAAAGAGTGGCGTACACCTAGGAAACCATGGCGACTTCGTTTCCACGCCATGTGCTTTAAACGTGGCCCGTATTCCCACGAGTACCGAATAGAAAATTGAACGAGCCTGGCGCCATCTTGGTTCTCGGTCGACCGTCTTGCAAGACGTCTCGAAATAAATTGGCGGGGGAGGAAAAAAAAGGAGAGGAGGGGGGGGGGCATCGAGACGAAAACGGTATGTAAACGGTGTTGACAGGATAATGATGTAGTGATGTTAGGTTAGGAATCGCGAATCTATCTAAGAAGGGAAAAGAAGGGCGAATGAAGATCGAATCAAGATGGAGGAAGACTACTAAGTAGTACTAAGCTCGTTCTAATTAAGAGAATTCCAGAATTCCAGGAGGTGGAAATTGTTTGGCAACGTTTCCACCTTCCGAGAGAGCCAATCACAAATACTTGGGGAAATACTTTGACTAACTTGCCCCCCGTTTGTGTGGGCAACAAGTAACATTGTCAAAGCGTTTCGAAAAACGTTTAATGCCCGCGGATCCCTGGTTCCAAGCTCCTCCCGAGCTGGATACCGACGCGTTTCATCAGAGGTTCTCCTAAAAGCTTCGGGCGAATCGAGCTTGGAATAATTCCAAAAGCTTCGAGAAGAAAACGAGGGGAGGGAGGGAAACTTGGGAAAATCGAGAATCTTTTCTTTTCTTCTCGATCCTTGTTCAAAAGTTCAAAGCTTCAAAATCCGGAGAGCAGTTTTTTCGCAAAGAAAGAGGAGCAGAGAAATTGAGAATCTCTGTAATTATTCATCCCCGTCTTAACGCAATAGAGGCAAGGGTGGGAATGGCGAAACGTGTTTAACGGTAGGAGGAGCGTGAATTTCGGCAACCGTCGATTAATTCCGCGGCAAACTCAACGTCAAAATGGCAGTAATGGAAGGAATCGAAATGCAAATCATTTCGAACCTAGTTGAACGCGGCCTACAATTCTCGAGACGATAACGCGGGAAGAAGTTTCTTCCCGGCGTAATAAGAAGCTGCTCATTGCGCTGTCTAACCAGACAGTTGCATATCAGTCATGTGCATTACGGAATGAGGAATTGCTCCAAGATTGAGATCGAGCACCATCGTTCCTCGAGGATTACAGGCCGCGAAATTTCTTCGATGCGTCTTCCCTTTGACGGATAAACACGGACTACGTTACCTAGACTGAGAAACTTAAATGAATTTCGAGTTACTTTAATATAGGAAAAGTTTCACCAACCAATTCTGGAAAGTGAGAGCATAATAGTTTACAATGGGACACGATCAACTTGATCCCTTCGCTACGCTTAATCTCGAATATTTTGCACTTCAATTATTTACTCCCAATTTCTTTTCTTACTACCTTTTCCTGCGCAACTACGTAAGATAAAAACCGTGTATTTTCACCAACAATAACGAAACTGTACAATGCAGCATAGCTTCTGAGCTATACTCTGATAACCGCCCGTCACCGAGATTCTTTGCCGAGAGCTGTTGGATTCTGGCCTCAAAATTCTGAAACAGGAGAGGAGGTCAATCTCGGCCACGATCGGGAAAGGAAACAAGAAGGGATCGGTGCGAATTCATTCGAATCACAAATATTATCCCATTCTCGTGGAAATGCGATGGCAACAGCGAGGGTGTGAGATTATAGCCTTCGATATACGTCAAGAATTTTTACGAGCGTGGATTATTCTTCCTTTCCTCGAAGGAGTCGCGACTTCGCCTACGATACGAATCCAATTTGATATTTTTAAAAATATCCTCGCTCGAGGAGGACGATTAATTACGTGGCTTCATAATTAACCGAAAGATCGAAGTTATTAAGCTCGAAGTTCAAAGACGAATTATTTCCGATCCTCGAAATTGTCTCGACGTCTCCTACTGATCTTGGATTTTTCTATACTTCTCGTTTCTCCCAAACTTTTTTTCCCCACGTTCGATCGTTCCAAGAACTTTGAAATGATAAGTTTAATCGCGAGACACAATGGGACGGGAGAAAATATTCCGGGGACGAAATTGTGTAAGCAATTGTGTAAGCAAGTTGCTCGTTGTAAACACCGACCTACCAACTTTCGAGACGGTAATTAATTCTCAAAGAAAGGAGGGATGACGACGAGGTTTCTTCGATAACGGGGGGGAGGGAATCCCTTTTAATTATGCATCGTCGAGGTTAAAAGCGTGACGAGGTTTCTAAGAAAGATTTTTTCGTAAATACGTTAAACAATCGCGAAACAATTCCTTCCGTCCTTTTCTTTTATTTCCCGGGAAAAGGAGGGAGGACGAAATTGAAATTGGACCTCGTTGAAAACAACCGTGCTAACTTCCACGATTATCATTATCACCGTTTCAAGTTCGTTTCCGCGAGAAGAGATGCTTCCCCGAGAGAGGGAAACACTCCAAACTTTCCCCCTTTTCTTTTATTCTATTCTTACTTTCTCGCGCCGTTCCATTAACCATACGCGTTTCCACGATCGCTCGAGAACTCGATTAATCCTTCTAATCGGCTAATTCCCCGGTTAAGTCGCGAAATTTAATCCTCTCCTCGCCGTGCAAACTGTTTCGAAATGGAGGCGCGATCATCGATAACTTCGAACGGATGCGTTTCATCCGGATTCAGGAGGCAACTCTATAATCGGCCTGTTAACTTTCATGAACACAACGCTCATACATTGGAAAACGCGTCCCTTATCCCCGCGGATCGAAATCTGCTCTGTTTGTGAGATGAATCCATTTAATTACTGCCGGCCCGCACGGGGGGATACGCTGTAACCGAATTGTCGGTGAAAATTTCAGAAAAATTCTCGCCACGATTTCACGAGGGAAAAGATTAACGAGCAGTCTCGTTCGAGGAAGGGAAAAAAAAAAAAAAAAAAAAAAAAAAA